AAAGGTATTTAAAATTTGCCGGGCCCTTTCCCATCTGGGGGGGAAAAAAAAGATAAAAAATTTTTCCAGGCCATGGAAAAACCTGGGTACCACAGCACCCCAAGAAGGGAAGGTTTTTATTTGCCGGGAAAGGAAAAAAAAAAACGGGCAGGGAAATGGCAAAAAAATGGAAACCCCAAATCCAGCCCTTCCTGGGGGGAAACCCACAGCGAGGGCCTCCACCCAAACCAACAGTACAGATACAATCCCCGGAAAAAAAAATCCCCCCCAGTACCAAATACCCCAGTGAAACATTCTTTTTTGCAAATTTTACGGGGTTTCTAAAGCCAGCAACAAACAAAAAAATCCCTTTCATCCGGGGACTGTTTGCAGGGGCAAAGGCAATGTTCGGGGCTTTCACTAAAAGACCCACAAAAAGGATCCATTGGAAAACGAAATAGGTTTCCCAGGTTAAAAACCTATACAGTGGGGACAGAGTGAACAGGAAAAAGGGGGGGGGGTTGGCCTTTTAACATTGCAGAGTCACTTGTTTGCACAGAACTGCTAAATCCCTTTAAATGATGTAGGGGGAAAGTTTGGGCAGAAAAGGGTTTCGAGCCCAAAAAACCTAGCCCCTTGTGGTAGCCCTACAACCTTTCCGGATGAACATCCCAGAAAATTCCGGGAAAAAACCCGGTTAAAAAAATTGCCCCACTTTTCTAAAAAACCCTTTCCCCAGCCCCCGAAACCAAAAAAACTTGCTCCGGGGGGAAATTTCAATTTAAAAGGAAACCTAAAATGGGGGATATAGCAAATAATATTGTTGCAGTAAAAACACCGGGGGGGGAGGCAGCCCCGAAAAAAACTCCCCACTCACGCGAGCTTTTAAAATCTCTGCAAAAAAATTTCCCAATTTAAAAAACCAAAGCAAATAATAGACCCTTTTCCCCTAGACTGGAGAATACACAAACCTCATTTTTCACTAAAAATTTGATGATCTGATAAGAAAGGGTTCCCAATATCAAAAAAAATTTAAACCAATCAAAAAACAAAATTTGAGGTTCGCCCATGAGGGCGCGGAGCCCCCAGACCGACATAATGAGATTTGTCACGAGGGGGGCATTTACCAAAAATTTAAATTCAATAACAAAAAATAAAAATGGGACCAATAAACCAAGTCCCAACCGATTAAGCTGGGGGGAAAATTTTTATAAGCAGCACAGACCCCCAACTTATGCCTAGAACAGATTAAAATCGGTGGGGACTCGAAGTATGCACAAGGCTTATTCCTCTAAGAAAAGGAGAAGTAGATGTAAAACAGAAAGAGACAGGGGCGCTCCTTTTACAGGCGACGGAAAGAATAAACAGGAGCGGCTAAAAGAGGTCAATATATTGAAATGCGTAGGAGACACTGGGTCAGAGAATAGCAAGCATCGAACTTAAGCTAAAGAATCTTTAGGGTCAGGAATCGCGGGAAGAAGAAGAACTAAAAGCCATAAAATGAAATCGAAAGAAACCCAAAGTATTTCTTCTTCCTATGCCAAATCAAAAAATCGAGAACAAAGTCAGTTTTTGGGCCCCCTACTTCAACAAGATGGGTCCTACACGGATGACAGCAGGAAATGAGTGAAACTTACTCAAGTCCCCAATATGACCTCAGTTTTTAGCAAGCCGCTAACCTGACTGAGGTCGAAGATCAAAATGAAATTTTTTATGAGAGGATCCACAAAAATTTGATGAACAACAAGCCTATTCCGATGTTATCCTGACGCCAAATGACTTCAAACAGGAGATAAATGACATGCCCAAGCACTCTGCCCCAGGGGCCAGGCTCATTGGAAACTCTGTGTTCATTCAAGAACTGCACAGATCAGAAGCCCCTCTATCACGAGCCTTTCCATCCTTGGAGAGGGAGCCATGGACCACGGGGGTCGTCCCACAGTTACTAAAAACAACAGACATAGCCCCACTCCACATAGGGGGCAGTAAAGCAGACAGCAAAGAAATAACAGGACCAATCGCACTAACATCCCATATCATAAAAATCTTTGGAAAGGGGTTCCTAAGAAGCAAGAGATCACCACCCATCTAGAAAACCATCAGTTACACAACCCAGGGCAACATGGGTTTAGAAACAGGTCGTCTTGTCTGTCTCAACTATTGGATCACTACGACAAGGTCCTAAATGCCACTAGAAGACAAAAAGAATTGCAGATGTAATATATACAGGACTTTGCAAAAGCCTTCGACAAGTGTGACCATGCGTAATAGCGCACAAATGCGTGCATAAAGGGAAATAACAGAAAAGTCGGTCGATGGATCTATAATTTCCTCACTAACAGAACAGAAACAACAGAGAGTAGTCGTCAACAGAGTAAAGTCCGAGGCAGTACGGTGAAAAGCTCTGTTCACAAGGCACAGAGTACTCGCTCCATCTTGTTTCCTCATCCTATATCGACAATAGACAAGGATTGTCAGCCACAGCACCGTGGTCTTCCTTTGAAGATGGACACTCCCGAAAATCTGCCATGACAGTGTCTTCCATTGCAGACACTGCAAAGCTCCAGGCGGACATCAACCAAATCTTTCAGTGGGCTGCAGAAAACACTATGAGAAGTTCAACGATGAGAAATTTCAAATACTCAGATTTTGGTAAACATCCCTTGAGGAAATTAAATCTTCATCGAGTACACAAACAAATTCTGGCCACAAAATAGAGCGAAACACCAACGTCAAAGACCTGGAGTGATCATGTCGGAGGATCTCACTCAAGGGGACCATACATTGTAGCAATGATCTGCTAGAAAACATGACAGGCTGGTTAATGAGAAACCTTCAAACTAGGGAGGCCCAAGCCATGATGACACTGTCTTCAGGTCACCTGTTCTATTAGGCAGGAATATTGATGCTCACACTAACAGCACCTTTCAAGGCAGGTGGAAAATTGCCGACCTAGAAAATGTTACCAGAGAATTTCACGGCGGCGCATAACGGAGATTTAAAAACACTCAAATTATTGGTGGAAGCGCTTGAGGTTCCTAAACCTGTATTCCTGGAACGCAGCGATGGGGAGGATACTTGATTATATACACCTGGAAATCTTAGAGGGACTAGTACGAACTTGACACGAGAATCAGTCACTACGAAAGCAAAAGACTTGGCAAGACGATGCACCATCCCCCCAATGAAAAGCAGGGGTGTCACTAGCACGTTAAGAGACCATACAATAAGTGTCAGGGGCCCGAGACTGTTCAACTGCCTCCCAGCACACATAAGGGGGATTACCAACAGACCCCTGGCAGTCTTCAAGCTGGCACTGGACAACCACCTAAAGTCGGTTCCGGATCAGCCGGGCTGTGGCTCGTACGTTGGTTTGCGTGCAGCCAGCAGCAACAGCCTGGTTGATCAGGCTCTGATCCACCAGGAGGCCTGGTCACAGACCGGGCCGCGGGGGCGTTGACCCCCGGAACTCTCTCCAGGTAAACTCCAGGTTAGTCGACTGGTGTAGGTCTCATCTTGGGGACAAAATTAACCTAATTTACCCGAAATGCTCTGTATAATCAGGGGTTTTCCATACAGTATGTCACTGATGTCAGCCATGGTCTGTATAAACTGTATCATTTACTTTTGAAAATGTAGAGAATTATTATTAATCAATAGCGGTTTCTTGAGGTGCTTCGACCCATAAACCCAACAATGAGAAATACAGTGAGCATCAGCTTCTAGGCTAGTAAGTTTATTTAAGTACAGGTACACATAAGTACAATTGTCATACATAGTTGAACGTATGTGTAAGTTACCTTGTTTCTTATATAATTCCAGTGCAGGTTTTGGCATAATATTTTTGCTTTTCCCGGGAAGTAAGGTTCAATAAGGCGTAAGTTGTATGCTCCCTTAACAAGAAGAATAACAAGAATGATGGCGCGGGTTTTAAGGTCTTCTCTCACTAAGTCTCAACCTGTTGGCCTCACTGGAAATTCGAATTGTACTTCACATGAAAATACGAAATCACAAGTTCAAGATATTAGTTTATGCGTTGGCAATACAATGTTAACTCCAAACAAATTGTCTAAGGTCAGTGATGAGTGTCCTTTACTATGAGTATAAAGCTCCCGCTTCACACACGGAGGGCCCGGGTTCGATTCCCGGCGGGTGGAAACATTTCGACACGTTTCCTTACACCTGTTGTCCTGTTCACCTAGCAGCAAATAGGTACCTGGGTGTTAGTCGACTGGTGTGGGTCGCATCCTGGGGGACAAGATTAAGGACCCCAATAGAAATAAGTTAGACAGGTCTCGATGACGCACTGACTTTCTTGGGTTATCCTGGGTGGCTAACCCCCCGGGGTTAAAAATCCGAACGAAATCTTATCTTATCTTATCTTAGTATAAAATAAGATTTTGTTTGCCTTTTTTTAATCGGGAATGGTAGTCACCCAGGATAACCCAATAAAGTCAGTGTGTCATCGAGGACTCTGTTTCCATTGGGGTCCTTTAATCTTATCCCCCAGGATGCAACCCACACTAGTCCACTAATACCCAAGTACCTACTTACTGCTAGGTGAACAAGGAGAGCAGGTGTAAGGCGACTAACACTCGGGTACCTGCTTACTGCTAGGTGTAAGGCAACTAACATTCAGGCACCTACTTACTGCTAGGTGAACAGAGACAGCAGGTGTAAGGAAACATGCCAACGTTTCACCTGTGCCGGGCATCAGACTACAGACATTCAGCATGTGAGATGATTGTACTGTCAACTGAGGTTTGACGGTTAATTGGATGCAGTTAATTGGAGCCATCCTTCCTTGTATCAAACATGATTGCTTCCCACATCCCAGGCACTGTAAGACCTCCAGTGAGATTACAGGGGATCTTGGAGCTCACCAGGTGACCTGGTATATTCTTATAATGGTACACTAGCTTTGCCCGATCATACTCTTCAAGGGAAGGTACCTCGCCTTGGTGCTGGTAAGAGGCTCATGATCCAAAGAACTCGACCTATCCTTCAATCCCTTGAATCAAACCTGAATGTCTCCCATTCTCCAGCACTACATGAACTCTATGGATTTTGTGCTGTTCCCTGATTAAAATTAATAAAAATCAGATGAACTCATATTGCCTCCCATTCTGCAACCTCTGTATAACCCCTTCAGGTTTAGATCTTCCCTGTAAATATAATAATTTACCCTCTTTATTATTATCATCATGCTGTATATCAGTACTGCTGTAAAAATCAGTATTATCTCACTTTGGTAGAAAGTATCTGTCATTGATTTCCTAAGTTAACTTTCAAACCGGTTATTTTACCTCTATGTACAGAGCCTTGAGGCACTCCATTGCAACATTTTCCCTTGCACTTGTTGCTTCATTTATGCTAGCCATCTTGTTTCTTGTAAAAATTGCTCCTTATGGCACTAATTTTAATTGATGTTGCACTACTGTAACCTTCAAGGGGGTGCCGTAATGCTGGTGAAGAGATCTTGATCCAGGGAAGTAGGGCTACCTTCCCCTTCGAATGAAACCTGATGAGCTCCCATTTTTCAGGCATTCTGTGACCCCTTAAGGGTTTGGTGCTTCTCATGAATATTATATATTTTATTATCACACTGGCCGATTCCCACCAAGGCAGGGTGGCCCGAAAAAGAAAAACTTTCACCATCATTCACTCCATCACTGTCTTGCCAGAAGGGTGCTTTACACTACAGTTTTAAACTGCAACATTAACACCCCTCCTTCAGAGTGCAGGCACTGTACTTCCCATCTCCAGGACTTAAGTCCGGCATGCCGGTTTCCCTGAATCCCTTCATAAATGTTACTTTGCTCACACTCCAACAGCACGTCAAGTATTAAAAAACCCTTTGTCTCCATTCACTCCTATCAAACACGCTCACGCATGGGCCCGCTGGAAGTCCAAGCCCCTCGCAACAAAAACCTCCTTTACCCCTCCCTCCAACCCTTCCTAGGCCGACCCCTACCCCGCCTTCCTTCCACTACAGACTGATACACTCTTGAAGTCATTCTGTTTCGCTCCATTCTCTCTACATGTCCGAACCACCTCAACAACCCTTCTCAGCCTCTGGACAACAGTTTTGGTAATCCCGCACCTCCTCCTAACTTCCAAACTACGAATTCTCTGCATTATATTCACACCACACATTGCCCTCAGACATGACATCTCCACTGCCTCCAACCTTCTCCTCACTGCAACATTCATCACCCACGCTTCACACCCATATAAGAGCGTTGGTAAAACTATAACTCTCATACATTCCCCTCTTTGCCTCCAAAGACAAAGTTCTTTGTCTCCACAGACTCCTAAGTGCACCACTCTTTTTCCCCCATCAATTCTATGATTCACCTCATCTTTCATAGACCCATCCGCTGACACGTTCCACTCCCAAATATCTGAATACGTTCACCTCCTCCATACTCTCTCCCTCCAATCTGATTATTCAATCTTTCATCACCTAATCTTTTTGTTATCCTCATAACCTTACTCTTTCCTGTATTCACCTTTAATTTTCTTCTTTTGCACACCCTACCAAATTCATCCACCAATCTCTGCAGCTTCTCTTCAGAATCTCCCAAAAGCACAGTGTCATCAGCAAAGAGCAGCTGTGACAACTCCCACTTTGTGTGTGATTCTTTATCTTTTAACTCCACGCCTCTTGCCAAGACCTCGCATTACTTCTCTTACAACCCCATCTATAAATATATTAAACAACCACGGTGACATCACACATCCTTGTCTAAGGCCTACTTTTACTGGGAAAAAATTTCCCTCTTTCCTACATACTCTAACTTGAGCCTCACTATCCTCGTAAAAACTCTTCACTGCTTTCAGTAACCTACCTCCTACACATACACTTGCAACATCTGCCACATTGCCCCCTATACCACCCTGTCATACGCCTTTTCCAAATCCATAAATGCCACAAAGACCTCTTTAGCCTTATCTAAATACTGTTCACTTATATGTTTCACTGTAAACACTGGTCCACACACCCCCTACCTTTCCTAAAGCCTCCTGTTCATCTGCTATCCTATTCTCCATCTTACTCTTAATTCTTTCAATTATAACTCTACCATACACTTTACCAGTACACTCAACAGACTTATTCCCCTATAATTTTTGCACTCTCTTTTATCCCCTTTGCCTTTATACAAAGGAACTATGCATGCTCTCTGCCAATCACTAGGTACTTTACCCTCTTCCATACATTTATTAAATAATTGCACCAACCACTCCAAAACTATATCCCCACCTGCTTTTAACATTTCTATCTTTATCCCATCAATCCCGGCTGCCTTACCCCCTTTCATTTTACCTACTGCCTCACGAACTTCCCCCACACTCACAACTGGCTCTTCCTCACTCCTACAAGATGTTATTCCTCCTTGCCCTATACACGAAATCACAGCTTCCCTATCTTCATCAACATTTAACAATTCCTCAAAATATTCCTCCATCTTCCCAATACCTCTAAACTCTCCATTTAATAACTCTCCTCTCCTATTTTTAACTGACAAATCCATTTGTTCTCTAGGCTTTCTTAACTTGTTAATCTCACTCCAAAACTTTTTCTTATTTTCAACAAAATTTGTTGATAACATCTCACCCACTCTCTCATTTGCTCTCTTTTTACATTGCTTCACCACTCTCTTAACCTCTCTCTTTTTCTCCATATACTCTTCCCTCCTTGCATCACTTCTACTTTGTAAAAACTTCTCATATGCTAACTTTTTCTCCCTTACTACTCTCTTTACATCATCATTCCACCAATCGCTCCTCTTCCCTCCTGCACACCACTTTCCTGTAACCACAAACTTCTGCTGAACACTCTACACTACATTTTTAAACTACCCATACCTCTTCGACCCCATTGCCTATGCTCTCATTAGCCCATCTATCCTCCAATAGCTGTTTATATCTTACCCTAACTGCCTCCTCTTTTAGTTTATAAACCTTCACCTCTCTCTTCCTGATGCTTCTATTCTCCTTGTATCCCATCTACCTTTTACTCTCAGTGTAGCTACAACTAGAAAGTGATCTGATATATCTGTGGCCCCTCTATAAACATGTACATCCTGAAGTCTAACTCAACAGTCTTTTATCTACCAATACATAATCCAACAAACTACTGTCATTTCGCCCTACATCATATCGTGTATACTTATTTATCCTCTTTTTCTTAAAATATGTATTACCTATAACTAAACCCCTTTCTATACAAAGTTCAATCAAAGGGCTCCCATTATCAATTTACACCTGGCACCCCAAACTTACCTACCACACCCTCTCTAAAGTTTCTCCTACTTTAGCATTCAGGTCCCCTACCACAATTACTCTCTCACTTGGTTCAAAGGCTCCTATACATTCACTTAACATCTCCCAAAATCTCTCTCTCTCCTCTGCATTCCTCTCTTCTCCAGGTGCATACACACTTATTATGACCCACTTCTCGATCCAACCTTTACTTTAATCCACATAATTCTTGAATTTACACATTCTATATTCTCTTTTCTCCTTCCATAACTGATCATTTAACATTACTGCTACCCCTTCCTTTGCTCTAACTCTCTCAGATACTCCAGATTTATCCCATTTATTTCCCCCCACTGAAACTCTCCCCCTTCAGCTTTGTTTCGCTTAGAGCCAGGACATCCAACTTCTTTTCATTCATAACATCAGCAATCATTGTTTCTTGTCATCCGCACTACATCCACGCACATTTAAGCATCCCAGTTTTATAAAGTTTTTCTTCTTCTCTTTTTAGTAAAAGTATACAGGAGAAGGGTTACTAGCCATTGCTCCCGGCATATTTAGTCGCCTCATAACGACACGCATGGCTTACGGAGAAAGATTCTTTTCCACTTCCCCATGGACAATAGAAGAAATAAAAAAGAACAAGAGCTATTTAGAAAAAGGAGAAAAACCTAGATGTATGTATATATATATATATGCATGTGTGTGTCTGTGAAGTGTGACCAAAGTGTAAGTAGGAGTAGCAAGATATCCCTGTTATCTAGCGTGTTTATGAGACAGAAAAAGAAACCAGCAATCCTACCATCATGCAAAACAGTTACAGGTTTTTGTTTCACAGTCATCTGGCAGGACGGTAGTACTTCCCTGGGTGGTTGCTGTCTACCATTCTCATGAATATACTGTATATAAAAATAATGTTTTGTACTGTAGTACATAATGAATCGCCAACGGCAGAAATCGTCTTTTTTATTCTTACCTACCATTTATCCACCATAATATTTTAATTTTCAGCATCTCCAATCATCCTCGTATATAGCTCCAGCAAAAAAATTGGCTAGAAGATGTGTCCAAATCAAGTATGAAGAGGAGCCCAAAATAGATCGACTCTCTTCAAACCAAAATGGAATTCATTCTGACACTCATCCTCAAGCAATAAATAGAAACTCTAATGATGAATACAACCATTGTGCAGGCACGAAAAAACTCAAAATGGTAATAAAACATATTGGATAATTTCAAGCTAGTGATAAATACTGCTCTTTCAAATTTTGTCTGTTATTTATTTCACAACTAAAGTATTGTATTAGACGTAGAACCCCATTAAATTTGTATTAACAACTTTTTCACTTTTTCTTGTTCTTATTATGTTCTACTAATAAGACTTGATTATAATAATAATCTGCTAATAAGAAAAATGCCCAGATTGTCAATGAAAAATGCTTTGGGATTGACATTGTATCATGTCATATTTTTTAATGTAGTTTCAGCTTTCAAGCATTTTAATTTTAATTTAAGGAAGATGAAGAAAAGGCATTACAGTCAAGATGGGAGCCACCACACTGGCAGGAGGTTCTGAAGAACATTCGGCAGATGAGAGCTGCACGAGATGCTCCTGTTGACTCCATGGGAGCTCAAAAGTGCACGGATGTGGATGCCCAACCTGAAGTAATGCCCAGTAGTGTAGTAATAAATTTTTGTTACTGCATCCTAGAGGACTATGGTTGTTGAGATTTACATTTTCCAAGTTAGCCAAAGAAAGTACCCTGAAAAAACTAGATTACTTAGGCATGTTATGGTAGTAGGTTGGTAGACAGCAACCACCCAGGGAGGTACTACCGTCCTGCCAAGTGAGTGTAAAACAAAAGTCTGTAATTGTTTTACATGATGGTAGGATTGCTGCTGTCTTTTGTCTGTCTCATAAACATGCAAGATTTCAGGTATGTCTTGCTACTTATTCTTACACTTAGGTCACACTACACATACATGTATACAGGCATATATATATGTACACACCCCTCTGGGTTTTCTTCTATTTTCTTTCTAGTTCTTGTTCTTGTTTATTTCCTCTTATCTCCATGGGGAAGTGGAACAGAATTCTTCCTCCGTCAGCCATGCGTGTTGTAAGAGGCGATTAAAATGCCGGGAGCAAGGGGCTAGTAGCCCCTTCTCCTGTACAAATTACTAAATTTAAAAAGAAAAACTTTCGTTTTCTTTTTGGGCCACCCTGCCTTGGTGGGATATGGCCGGTTTGTTGAAAAAAAAAAAAAAAAACAACTTAGGCATGTCTTGTGTCTAGCATTAGGAATAATATTAGGAGAGAAGTAAATAATGAAATTCAATGTCATAGGAATACAGTTAGAAGGCTGAGTAGATAAGTATGACTGATGTTGTAGTAACCAGGTTTAGGCTTGATTATAAATACATTTAGCATTTTGGTAGATACACAGATGTAGATCTAACTAAATGCAATAATCACTTTTTTTTAGAACACTATATGCTTAATGGTTTACTTACTGAGGATTGTAGGGATAGATAGCATAATAACCTATGTGATCTGTCAAGGTATCTTATTAATGAAAATAAGATGCTGGACAATAATCAGAAATCCAAAATTTGCTGGCAACAAATATATCAATTTGTAGATATGAATCCATATGTCCAAATGTTCTCCTGTTAACCCTTATGCTGCTGTCAACAAGATGACTATGGGATTCACAGTAAACTAGTCACTTTACTGATGGATTAAAAAATGCACTCATACAATAACTTCATATGACAGGTTTACTAGTGGATTAAGTTGAATGCATTTTTCCATACTTTTTTCAGATATACAGGTTCCAGGTACTTGTTTCTCTAATGTTGAGTAGCCAAACAAAAGACCAGGTGACCCATGCAGCCATGGCCAAGCTACGAGCACATGGACTTACTGTTGATAACATCCTGGCAACAGATCCTGACACTCTTGGTCAGCTTATACATCCTGTTGGGTTCTGGAAGGTTAGCTAAAAGTATTATACATAAAATACTGTATATAATGTATGCAGTATGTTTTTTTTCTTGTTACCTTCTCAGCAGTTTCCCATCAATGAAGACTGGAAAGTGATGCTAAGAAAATAAATGATTTCAATTAGTATTTTTTATTAATTATAGGGAAAAGAGTAACCAGCTTTTCATCCCTGGCATTGAAGTTACTGTTCTTTTTATAACTATGTTGATCATCATTGTTTTCAGAGTGGATGTTTACAACAGTTAGCGAAGTGGGGGCTTTGATTCATCCACTCCTCAAGAAGCCTTCCTTGATTCAGAAAACATGCAAGAATATTAATTTGTGTTTAATCTGGTGCTTCTTTCTGAACTGATTGAAGATGCTATTTTTAATCAGTTGTTTCATTTTCAGGAATGGAGTAATGTTTTACTGTGTATTTAGTCTGCATATAGACCATTTCATTCAACTGGGATGGGTTTGTGTAAAGTTCATTATGATTTGGTACTAAACACTTGCTTAAGAAATGGACTGCTGCTAATTTTGTTGGACCTCTTTTCTGCACTTGATACCATTGATCATTTCTGTTAAGCTATTTTTTTGGTATGGCCTTGGAAATATTGCACTGTCATTTCTGCAGGATTGCCAAAACTGTTGTCCAGAGGGCTGAGGAAGGGTTGTTGACGTGATTCGGGCATATAGGAGTGAATGTAGACAAATGGTTTTTTAATACTTGACGTGCTGTAGGAGTGTGAGCAAAGTAACATTTTATGGAGGGATTCAGGGAAACCGGCAGGCCAGACTTGAATCCTGGAGATGGGAAGTACAGTGTCTACACTCTGAAGGAAGGGTGTTAATGTTGCGGTTTTATAAATTGTAGTGGAAAGCACCGCTCTGGCAAGGCAGTGATGGAGTGAATGATGATGAAAGTTTTTTCTTTTTTGGGCACCCTGCCTTGGTGGGAATCGGCCGATGTATTAATAATAATAAAAAAAATTTCTGACATCGTATGTTCTCTTCCGCTGGATGTTTGGATTTTGATAAATAGTAAATTGAAACTGAATGAACATAAGACAGGTTTTGATTGTCAGGGAAAACCTCTGTGAAGTACAGATCAGAGATTTTAATGCCTTTCATTATGGTACATTGAGTTTGCAGTGTGTGGAATCAGTGAGGAATCTTGATGTCTTCCTGGATTCTGACTTGTCATTTGTCAGACACATCACCCTCTTTTTATTTACTGGGTACTGTAATTCAATTAGGGGCAGGCAGGGTGACCCAAAAAGAAAATACTTTCATCATCATTCAACACTTTCACCTCACTCACGCATAATCACTGTTTTTGCAGAGGTGCTCAGAACACAACGGTTTAGAAGCATATACGTATAAAGATACACAACATATCCCTCCAAACTGCTAATATCCCGAAACCCCTCCTTTAAAGTGCAGGCATTGTACTTCCCATTTCCAGGACTCAAGTCTGGCTATATAAAAATAACCGGTTTCCCTGAATCCCTTCACTAAATATTACCCTGCTCACACTTCAACAGATCGTCAGGTCCCAAATACCATTCATCTCCATTCACTTCTATTGAACATGCTCATGAATGCCTGCATGCTTGATATGTATTATACCACTTGTTAAAGTAGCAAAGGAAGTAATGTACAAATAATATTTTATTTTATATACATTCCAATAAAATGTATACTAAGAATGTAGTAAAAGAAATAATTCAGTAACAAAATAATTCTTTAATCTTATACATTCATTTGTATGTCTTCTAGAAGAAAGTTGTGTATATAAAGAAAACGTGTGAAATACTGAGGAAGTATTATGGTGGGGATATTCCTCCTACACTTAAAGACATGTGTAAGCTTCCAGGAGTTGGACCAAAAATGGCTCACCTCTGTATGGATATTGGCTGGGGAAAACTAACAGGCATTGGTAAGACCCAAGGCAACAGCAGCTTGCAGATTAGCATTGCTTATAGTATTTTGCATATTGACTATTTTTAATTTTAAAATTTTAAATTTTTTCCATCACTTTCTTTTTTATGGAACTTTACATTTCCTTATACTTTGTAATACTTTATGGAGAAATAGGCCCACACGAGAGAGGAGCTTATGATGACATTTTGGTCTGACTTGGACATTTACAAAGTTGCTCTGTGAATTTGTAAGCTCCTCTCTTCTTCTATCAGTTTTTTTGTGTATAGTACTTTATTATATTTTGCTTAATTCGGGTGTTGACACACACGTGCATCCATCAGCAATCGACTGGGATGGACTGGACGCGATACAAAAAACCAGAAGAAACTCGAATTGCTTTGGAATCCGGGATGCCAGAAGAAATATGGAGTGATCCCAAATCTGCTTATGGTCGGGTTTGGGCAACAAATATGTTTACCAGTGGGTCCAAAGTGCAGTCAATGTCTCAATGCAACACTTTCCCCCTTGGTATTAACCTCTCAGAAAATCTCCAAAGTTTAAAATTCACCATTGAAACTGCCAGTCATGGTAAGGCTTGTTAGTTCCCACAAATCATTCAGCTTCTGTTTTGCCAAAATTGTGATGATGTCAGTTTAGATGACCTTGTGAACTACAATAATAATACTGTAATAACAATGTGAAGGAAACTATGAAAAACGTGTTAAAATTTTATTTGGTAACGTATAGCAGTAGTTCATGTCTAGGAATTTTAATCACTTTTAAATATAAAGTATAGCATCTACCTGAGGTAATACTTTTCAGTAATAAAACAACCTACAATTATTTAAGGATACTAGGACACACTACTGTGATTTAAACAAATATGGTATTTAAAATATACAATGGATAAGTTTTTGGAATGTCATTGAAAGAAACCAGTAATGAGAGATTTTACCCATATTCAGGTCTCTGAAATCACATTACTGTATTTAATACTATACAACATTAATAATCGTTATTGTCATAATGAAGTCAAGCACTAAACCTAAAAGGGTTAATAAAATAGATTTTCTTTATGCTCAGTTTGACCTTTCAGTTTTAGTGCTCTCCATGAAGGTTAAAAAATTTTTGCTTATTGACTGATATATTGGCACATTGTAAACAATTTACACAGCAAGTTCATAAAATACACTTACACAGCACATGGGAATCATTATTGAGGAAATGTTTTGCCACACAGTGGCCAAACTGATGAAGCCACTGTGTGGCAAAATGTTTCCTCAATAAAGATTCCCATATGCTACATTGTCACCTTCTTCAACTTGTCAGCTTTCAAACCCATTTATCACATAAAATAATGAGGTTAATTTGTAAGGCACAAATGGCTGTTTCATTTTGTACAATTGTATCTCAGAATTTGAAATATTTTACAGACTTCTCATTATTTTATATATACACGGTATATTACTATATTCATAACTAAGCGCTAAACCCACAGGGGTCATGCAGTGCATATACACTGTATAAAGAAATAATTTTAACCAGTTTCACTTGACACTTTCACTATTGTACATCAAAATCTTTACACAAATAACTTGCACATAGGAAACTGAAACTACAAAAAGGGTTTCAGTCCAACATGGACCATTTACAAGCCCATGTGACTTATCAGTGGTCCAAGACAGAATAAAACATCATCATAGTTTGTCTCCTACATGCAAGTTATTTGTCTTGTTCGAACCTTTGGGTATTGTGACCTCTTAATCTTTATTAAAATCTTTCTGATGCAGGAGTTATCATAAGGTTACTGGAAGACTGGCATGTTCTCAGGCCATTATAACGACTAACATCTTGCTAAAGCTACCTTATACCTAAAAGTAACAATTTATGAATTAATATTCACAGGATCTTCATTAGACTAATTGTTTCTGAAGTATTATTTATAGTAATTCATACTTATGCATCCCCCATGCTCATTATTTACATGAGAAGGCATGAATTACTGTCACAAACATATAATGTGTAACAGATTCCATAAATGTACACAGTACAGAAAATTTCCAGTGAAGTATTGATGCAAAGCACAACAATGTACATAGAGCACTACACTTTCGAAAATTACAGCAAGTTTCTTTTCTGACCACAATAAGAAATTTTACCTAACTCCTGTAACTGCAGTCGAACAGTTACTCCTCCCTGACATGGCTTTGCCATTCCCTGCCTTCTATTAACAGACATGGAGGATTTTTTTTACACTGGTTGGCATCGGGCAACACTTGAGGTTCCTGAACAGATGATATCTAGAGATACTCCTGAGTTGGGGACCTAGTTTTTTTAAAATGTGGTGAGCATGGATATCGAGATAAAAAATAAATTGGAATTATAGTTTTTTTTTTTTTAAATGTCATGTCTGGGGCAATGTGTGTTGGGGAATATAATGCAGAGAATTCGTTAGTTTGGAAGTTAGGAGGAGGTGTGGGATTACCAAAACTGTTGTCCCGAGGGCTGAGGAAGGGTTGTTGAGATGGTTCGGACATGTAGAGAGAATGGAGCGAAACAGGACTTCAAGAGTGTATCAGTCTGTAGTGGAAGGAAGGCGGGGGTAGGGGTTTAGCCTAGGAAAGGTTGGAGGGAGGGGTAAAGGAGGTTTTGTGTGTGAGGGGTTGGACTTCCAGCAGGCATGGCGTGAGTGTGTTTGATAGGAGTGAATGGAGACAAATGATTTTAAAACTTGACGTGCTGTTGGAGTGTGAGCAAAGTAACATTTTTTGAAGGGGTTCAGGGAAACCGGCAGGCTGGACTTGAGTCCTGGAGATGGGAAGTACAGTGGGCCCGCACTCTGAAGGAGGGGTGTTAATGTTGCAGTTTAAAAATGTAGTGTAAAGCACCCTTCGGCAAGACAGGGATGGGGTGAAAGATGGTGAAAGTTTTTCTTTTTCAGGCCACCCTGCCTTGGGTGGGAATCGGCCCGGGGTGATAAAAAAAAAAAAATTTTAAATGTCAGGTATTATACCAAGTCACAAATAGTTTTTCTTGCAAAGTGTAGGCAATCGTCCTATGTGAGATGTCAGTCTTAACATTAAAAAAGGTGGGTTAGCATTTAGGGAGACAATGATAGATAAGGATAAGAATTATTTGGAAAAAAACAGTAAAAAATTAAATTGCATATGCGTACAAGGCGAGATCGAAATTACGTATATGTGAAGAAAAAGTATGGCTAAAATTTCTTTTTTAAAAAACATTATAGGCTATAAAAATGAAATGCATTTCTGAACATGTGCATTCAGGCTTACCCATCTTTCCAATGTTGTTTTAGCAGGTAATTAAGAGTAGCCATTTGTGTGGGCAAACTTCATGGGGGCATAGTTCGTAAAGATGCACCATACAGCATGTCACAACATTGGCTGCAGTCTGCCACCTACTACAAAGCACTAACCCTGCAGTACAGGTTTTGGGGTACGTTTTTAAAAATGTTATAATAAAAATTTTTTAATAAATGCGAGGGTCTTGGCAAGAGACGTGGAGTTAAAAGATAAAGAATACACTAAAGTGGGAGTTGTGGGCAGTTGCTCTTTGCTGATGACACTGTGCTCTTGGGAGATTCTGAAGAGAAGTTGCAGAGATTGGTGGATGAATTTGGTAGGGTGTGCAAAAGTAGAAAATTAAAAGTGAATACAGGAAAGAGTAAGGGTTTTGAGGATAACAAAAAATTAGGTGATGAAAGATTGGATATCAGATTGGAGGGAGAGAGTATGGAGGAGGTGAACGTATTTAGATATTTTTGGGAGTGGGGCGTGTCAGCGGATGGGTCTATGAAAAATGAGGTGAATCATAGAATTGATGAGGGAAAAGGGTGAGTGGTGCACTTGGAGTCTGTGGAGACAAAGAACTTTGTCCTTGGAGGCAAAGAGGGGAATGTATGAGAGTATAGTTTTACCAACTCTTATTTTGGGTGTGAAGCATGGGTGATGAATGTTGTAGCGAGGAGAAGGCTGGAGGCAGTGGAGATGTCATGTCTGAGGGCAATGTGTGGTGTGAATATAATGCAGAGAAAATTTGTAGTTTGGAAGTTGGAGGAGGTGCAGGATTACCAAAACTGTTGTCCAAGGGCTGAGGAAGAGTTGTTGAGGTGGTTCGGACATGTAGAGAGAATGGAGCGAAACAGAGTGACTTCAAGAGTGTATCAGTCTGTGTGGAAGGAAGGCGGGGTAGGGGTCGGCCTAGGAAAAGGGTTTGGGGGGAGGGGGTAAAGGAAGTTTTGTGTGCGAGGGGCTTGGACTTCCAGCAGGCATGCATGAGTGTGTTTTATAGGAGTGAATGGAGACAAATGGTTTTTAATACTTGACATGGGGTTGGAGTGTGAGCAAAGTAACATTTATGAAGGGGTTCAGGGAAGCCAGCAGGGCCGGACTTGAGTCCTGGAGATGGGAAGTACAATGCTTGCACTCTGAAGGAGGGGTGTTAATGTTGCAGTTTTAAAAAAAAGTAGTGTAAAGCACCCTTCTGGCAAGACAGTGATGGAGTGAATGATGGTGAAAGTTTTTCTTTTTTGGGGCCCCCCTGCCTTGGTGGAATCGGCAAGTGTTGGGTAATAAAAAAAAAAAAATAATTACACAGCATTAAAAATTAAGCAACTGCCTTAAAGGGTCTTTTTGTTAGATACTCTAGCACATACATGCTCGGATAATATGCTGCACTTTTATACCCTTATGTGTATGGTAATTTTCCCCTTTCACTGTCATGTCATTTGTGTGTGCCATGCAACTGGAATGGTTATCAACACAAAACAGTAATTTTCTTATGATAATCTTAATTATCTTTCTATCTTCCTAATGATGAGTACAGTTATATATTTAAATGCAAATCATATTTTTCATTTTTAGATTACATATTAAGATATGAAAAACCTAAATTAAAATGTTTTGAAGAGGTTTAACCATATGAAAAAATTGAAAGCTTATATTTTGAACTCTAATAGGAAAAATGAGGCATAAACAGAATAGCAGCCAAGCCTGGTGCTATTTTTGTATGCTACTCCATGAACATAGTAGTCACCAGAGA